CCAGAACTAGAACTGAACCTATCCGGTTATTCTCGAATGGGACACTCTTTTTGAGGATAACGGTTCCTAAGCGGCATTGTCTTTGATCCGTTATTGTATAGGAAGAAACGAAATTTGACCTCTGACGAGTTTAAAAGACACATAAGAATACACATAGGAGTTGTTATACTGACGTTTACACTACTCAGGACTCTTTACCTGCAGTTCGCAAGCAGTTTGCGAACAATTATAATTTACTAATATGTTAAAAATTTTACTAATAAAAGGTTCGTATGTGTTGAAGGTTCTGGGGTATCAATTTGTTGTCCCTCACAGTCTTCTTACCCACTCCGTGGCCAGACCCTTCGCGAACAATATTCTTATTTTTAAAGCAATGCAACGTCGGGTTGCATGTTTTATAAATCCTTGTATGTAATCTTTTTTAGGTGTCTTATATTTAATAGATATAGTAAAGACATAATAAAGTGTAGATGTATGTAAATATGTATTAATTATTTATAGGGAGGGCGTAATTATGTGTGTGGAATTTCTTATTAAGTAACTAAATATACACCGAATTATACCGTGTTTGGTCTCATTTTAATCAAAAAAAAAAAAAATGGATATTTTAGTAAAATTTTTATCAGCAAAACACAAAAAATAAAAAAGTTTTTCTTTTGTATTGTGTTGTCTCATCGATATGTAAGTGTTTGATATTTTAGGACTGGTTCGACTTTCAATACCTCTCTCTTCTTTGTCTGCTGTCTCTTTCTGCGTCCGTCGGTGTCGGTAAAATACAAAGAGTTTGAGAAACCTACCACCTTTTTCGTAGCTGTTACACAGCGGTCCCGACTTTGGAACTCTTATAGAACTTTTACTGTAGATACAAAAATTAGTAAATAATGAATTAAAGTTTTTTTGAATTGTAGTAGATAATTAAAATCGTCTATTTTTATTATAGAAATTCTCATTGAATATTTCACGTAATACTCCATACTTACTGAAAAAATTGTTTCTTTATTGAAATTTCTCCGAGATCTTCATCAGTTGACTTTTTTCTTAATTTTTCAATCATATCTGTAAACTGTCTGATTAACCAATGTGTATTTATGTTTAATGTCATTTATAAACCATTTCCATGATTTCATCCATACAACAAGGTAAGACGTATTTATAACAAAGTCCAAATATAATTATTACAGTTTACTTAATTCTTTAAAGATTTAACAATTAAGAAAACTTGAATATTTTCTACATATACTTTGCCTTATCATTCAAAATCAAAGTTTCGTGTCCCCTATCATTTGTACAATTATAGTATAAGCTAGGAGAGAATAGTAATTATAACATTTTTATTAATTTATCAAATTCCCTTATTAAGAATTTTTAATATTTTATTCATTTGCTATTAAATATTTAGTATCGAAAGGAAAAGTAATGTTAAATTACCTGGTAAAAGTTTATACTCCTTCATGGCACTTGCAATAACAATAAGAGTTATAAAAAAAAATATATAAAAGAATGTATGCATAGTGGAAATATGTGTATCAATGATTCTACGGTAAGAGGAAACGTATCACTGATCAAGCATCAATTCAAACTGATGAAAACCGTTCCTCTTCTATGCTCTGATTGCTCCGATATTTTTCGACGACATGAAAGTTTGTACAATACCGTCACCTTTTAGTGAAGAAGTTGTACACTTTCACTTCAACAAAAGTTTAAGTATGAATATATTATTCTATGTAAAAGAAAATACGAAGTTGTAATTATTATTTGTACCGTAGTTGTAATTATGAAATGAACTAGGACACCTGTAAAAGGAGAGAAAGATTTTTCTATACTAAAGCCATATAAAACATCGCAAAATCTTATCACGTATTGGCGAAAGAGAAATAATTTCGTTTTTCCAACAGCTTGAATTTCGTGCTATCGTAAACTTTTATACACTACAGCCAAGAAGAAGGAATTTGCTGTAGTACGCGTGTATTGAATGGTAGAACAATTCATAGTAAAATTGTTTGGACATTGCTATCTGTCGTCAGTGCCGGATTTACGTATAAGCTAAAAAAGCTACAGCTTAGGGCCTCGCAATCTGCCGTGGCCTCAAATAAAAAAACAAAAAAATATAAAAATTGATAAAAAAACATCTCGTAGATAAATCACTCAAATGAAGTCAGACATATCACTATGATAATTTGTAAATAATTTTGAATATACAAAATATAACATTAAAATAATTTTGGCGCATTGTAAATGTGATTGAGATATTTTGTCTTCTTTTTTTTCAAAAGCATTTATTTGAGAGTTTTCAAAATGTCGGCTAACTTCAAAGGGTATCTATCCAATAAGATTAATTTTTTATTTACTACCATTATGTTATTATATTGATTTAATTTTTACCTTTTATTTTCCTATTTTAATTTAAAACTTTCTGTTCTATGAGCCTTATTTGTCGTTTTTAAAACCCTTTAATTATATAATTATTTCTGTGATTTTGTAAACACATCCTTTATTATTTTTTTAATAAAAATTAAAAGACAATATATTGTCATATATTAAAAAGGCGTATATATTTTGAATTTTTCCGAGACCAGCTGATGTAATTTAAAACAGTAGGGGGCCTCTGGGTTTTGTATAGCTTAGGGCCTCAGCAAGTCTAAATCCCGGCCCTGCATACACGTATACGCATGTGAGAAATATATCTACAATTAGCGTAATATTTGGCAAATAATTCTGCTTATGCAAAAATAGTAAAGAAATCTTCAACTAAATAATAGAAACACGTATAAAGTGAAAAGTTTAAACGGTAAAAATTAAAAGGATAGAAAGACAAGCCACACACGTTGCGAAGAAACTTGCTAGCACGATAACACGGACTATGATTTAATTAATGTGATCCAGCCTGGTCCCCGAGGCATCCGCACAAGTGGTCTTCTGCATGTCACTGTGCTCCTTATACACGTACCTATGTAGGGTATTCGACTTTCTAAGGTAATAAAACAATTTGCTGATGGCGAGGAGAGAGAGCAATTTACGGAAAATATATTATTTGTGAATATGGTAGAGCTCCATTGTTCGAGTCCTCAGTACGGTCGAACACTATTTTAATTTCAAACTTTCTGTTCTATGAGCCTTATTTGTCGTTTTTAAAACCCTTTAATTATATAATTATTTCTGTGATTTTGTAAACACATCCTTTATTACTTTTTTAATCAAAATTAAAAGACAATATATTTTCATATATATAAAAGGAGTATATATTTTAAATTTTTCTGAGACCAGCTGATGTCATTTAAAACAGTAGGGGGCCTCTGGGTTTTGTATAGCTTAGGGCTTCAGCAAGTCTAAATCCAGCCCTGTCTGTCGTGATGAATAATCTGGATATTCGCGTAATGTTTTTATATAAGTTTAAACTTGGAAAAATTGCGATAAGAACTGCTGAAAATGTAAATTTAGCGTTTAAAGAAGGTTATGTAAATGTTAAAACACTTCAACGTTGATGTTGCAAAATTCAAGATGGATGACTTTTCGTTGGAAAATGAGCCAAGGAGAAGACCAGGGCTTAGTATGATAACATTTTAAGAAAAATTAGTGAAAACACTCCACGGTCGAGAATATAAAATTTTGCCACATTTCTTCGAATACCTGGGCAATTTTTTAACAAATAAATAATTCCGAAATGAAGACTTTTTGAATGCAGACTAATGATTTTTCAAATTTTGGAATAATGTAACTATTCAATCGGAAAAAGCGTACAGAATCGTGCGGAAATTCATTTTGATTAAATGCACGATATTTTTAACAAATTATGTGTATCTAAAGTTTTATTTAAGATAACGAAATTTCATAATATCGGTGCAATATTTTGAGTAACGTATGAACCGTTCACAGGCCAATGTGGTTAACTCCACGTTTTGTCTTTTTTCAAATTTCAGTGCCGAAGCCTTGATTGACGCTTATTTTTTTATATTTAAAATTAATTTCCTTAATAATTAGGCTTAACATCACTAAACGACAAACATTTTTATGGCCGTTGAATAATAAATAATTTATTGCAGAAGCCAATGAGATTAACTCCATACTCTAAAGTAAGTCGTTGTAATAATGTAATTTGAACACTTCTAAGAATTTAACTAAATAATTTTCTAAAGCAACGGTATAAGAAATATTAATATTTATATTTGACGTAATTTTTGTTTTGTGCAGTTAACCGACTTGGCAAATATTAGTTGACTCCAATGTTTCGCACCGTGTTCCTTCCCTCCTCTGTAATCATCTTTTCAGAAAGGATTTAAGCAATATATCAACTAGAATTGCTCGTTGCAAACAAAGTTAACGAGATAATAATTCAAAGTCCTCCATTTTCTTTCGTTATCAACGAACGTTTCAGTGTCACGTGCATTTAATATTCGTACAAATTCAGTGCGCATAGCGCGTTAAAATATGAAGTTATCGGAAGTTGAGGAATGTCAGAAATACTTCTAACGAATTCTTTTTCACATCTGTTAGCTAGTATTGTACGTCAATGAGCAATAAGCAAACGTCAATTTAGAGCGCTGCAACACACATTCCTATGCGTGGTGCACTGTTATCATTGAAAGTCATTAAGGCATGTTACCGCAGCTTTGCCATACAAAAAACGTAAATAATCCTCACTGCATTACGTAACTACTTTCTGCTTAGCTAATTGACGTTTACCACGTATACATGTGTCATTGTTGCTCTTATTACTACTCCAAGAATTTGTGATAACTTGTGACCCCTGAACGAAGATTAATCTCCGTGAACATTTTCATCCACAGTACGCCGAACGACGCTTTCGGTTACCGACACGCTTGTTTAGTCGCAAGTCGTACAAAAGTGTGCTTCAGAACCATGAAAAGTTTGGTTAACTCGGTGAACGATGCCGTCACAGAAACTCTTTTCGGTGTCTCGTTTCAGTTTCCGCAATTGGAATATCAAGTGTCGCATAAGGTCGTTCTTATGCCAAAGGTACGTGTGTACATAACCTTACACGTTCGTTTACCAATTGACTGCACGAACAACAACATGTAGAGATTGATGGAATATTTTTATTTGTCCCTAAATGTAAATACAAATTTACTAAGATGCATTATGGTTTAGCTGCAAGATCGAAAAAATAAGGTATCCCTGGTATGCGGTGGCGGAAGTGGACACGAACCTTTCGCAGCAGGTAAATTCTCATTCTATTTTAAAACAAACGAAATAGTTAGCACCTTTCACTAAATGCTTCGCATGCAAGCGTGTTTTATGACACTTTGTATTCGCTGAATGCCAGCAAATATGAAAATAAATATCTTTCTTATACTTGCAAATCTTACTGAATTCAATATGAAACATTTATAATATTATTTGCTATATACGTACATAACTAAACAGTTTTGTAATGTAAGGACATTGAAATTTACTAAGTGAACCAATTGAAGATTAATTTAACACACGTGTGGTAAAACTGACGTTATTCTAAAGAAAAAAATAATGGACGCAGTTTATTTGTGGTTCGGTATAAAAACAAAAATATGTATAAATTTTCAATACGGATAAAGAATACGAGTAGTGTAACGTTAAAAATGAAGGTTTTTTTTAAAGAGAAAGTATTTCTTTTGGGACACTACTTTGTTGGAGGTTATGTTGTGCAATTGTTCATAATTCGGTAACATTTACGATACTGTAAAAATTGAAAGCTTCTGAAATAAATAACGGTTACAAATATCACATTATAGAATTGTTTATTTCAGTTCCACGATCAATATAATGACGAATTAAATATTTTAGGAATAGAACATTATTAATTAGCAATTAAATATTTTTTTTGTGTATAACATCTTTTAAAAGTTATACTTAGAGTTAAATTTAAATTAAATACAAATAACTTCACGTTTGATATTTATGTTTTTATTTGTTTATTATTAATACCAAGTTCGTGCATATTACCATAACTGTAGTTATTATATTTTACAAAGTAAAATGCAATAAAATAAAAATTAAAAAATTGAAGATTTTGATTTTGCGCAATCCAAAAATTGGCTATAACATTAAATATACATTATTCAAAGATTAATAATTTCAGTGTTTCTCAGACACGTTTTAGTACTTAAAAATTATTATTTATTTTTAAGTATTACGTATTTATAACTTACATTAAACTATATATACGTTATTGACATTATAAATAATGTAAATTGTATACAATTGTATACAATGTAAAATGTGGGAGATTTTCAGCAATTATGTAGCTAATAAAATAAAGTTATTGAAAAGTGAACGTTTCGTTTTACTGTGTGCCTTTGATTAACAAATATTATAAATGAAAAGAATCTTGGAGACGTTTTAAAGAAAATAATTTTAAAGTTCAAGACTTGAACACGTTTTTTGTTCACTGTCCTCGTTTAAAGCGTTCTGCTTTTACAGCAATTTCAGAAATAGCTCTGTTACCTTCTCTAAGTGAAAAAAAATACTCTTTGTTTCAATTAATCCATTAAGAATACTGAGGCATCGACTGGTGATTAATTTAAATCGTTTGAGTTAAGATTCTCGATCATCTGAAAGTAAACATTTCGATTTCTGTCTTTTCATAGCCAAATCTTATGTATCCGGTGTCTCGCTCGAAATTGACAAAATTTGTTTCGTGTCGACATAAGTTTTCCAGTTAATTCAGTGTCTGATTCGAAGCAGTGAAATTCATAATTTTCTGAGCAAAACGTTACTTTGAAAAGTTTGAAAAAGACATCGTTATATACCAATTTTTCCATATAATTTGGAAATTAGTCACAAAATATTACAAAAATTAGTTACACGAGATTGTGTCCGTATGTTTGATGTCTAGATAACTAAAAATCAACGTAACTCACCACGATTGATTAACAATATCTTTATAATTGAGCCGTTACATTTAAAATAATATATTTTTATTACTGTTACTGTTATTTATATTTAGAATTACTTTTTCGAATAGTCTACTTAAATTGTGATCTAAACATCAGTTTGTTATAAGTTGCGTTTCTGACAGTTCATTATTTTCGAAATTAGTATTTTGTTCACTTGCGATGAACAAAAACATTGTTTTACCGAGACAATGTTTATAAAACTGTTAATAATATAAAAAAGTTATATTACTGTTTAATAATCTTTCTAAATGTTGTAAAATGCAAAACATTATATAGAGTGAACCAGGAAACGTGATTACTTTAGATTATTTTGTTATTAGTCGACTGATCGAATTCTTTTTTCAAACAAATCCCTTATGATGACTATACTGTACTTTTTATCAGTTATTTCTTTCTTTCGAAGTTTTCAAGGTCACCTTCAGTTTTTTTTATAGATAAATGCAGATCTATCGTAGAAAGAAGTTGACCTTGAAAACTTGAAACAAAAAATAACTGATAAAAAGTATACTATGATTATCTTAGAGCCTCTTTGAACCTATTCGAAATGGGTTATGAAATTAAATGGTCTTTTTATCTTTTAATATACTATTTATTAACGGACTCAGAGGAAACGTCTTTACTCTTTGGGTAGTTCTAAAGGACTGTTCATGGGCACCTAAAAAGAAAGTTGGGGTCCGCTTATACCTTTTTTTCTTTTTTTTTTCGTGGGGGAAATCCTCATGGACACCCCGCCCCCTGGGGAGGGGGGGCGGGGTAGTGCCGGACTCCTACCGGCTAAAACCCCCACGGCTACTCTCGTCGGGCGCGTCGGTGGGACCCCGGGCTCTCGCGTTGCGAACCCTACCGGAGCCCCACCGCGCCAGGGCTTGCGCCCCGACCCGGGGGAGGGGAGGTCACACCACCGCCCTTCCCCGATACTCCGCCCGTAGGCTCGGCGGCACCAGGGAGCCGCCCCTCTCGGGACCGCTATCCGGGGAAGCCTGGGTCCCCTCCCAGACTCCCCGCGGTTCCGGGGCGCCCCGCCCTGGGAGATATCTCCTTTATATATCCTTTATATCTCCTTTTATAGCGCCGGTGGTCACCCGTCCCACCACTACGGAGGCGCTATGCGTCTCCTCCGTACCACCCGGCGTATCCGCTGTTCTTCGGCGGAGAGAGTCGTTCCTCTCTCGAACCCTCTCCGCGGCCTCCTTCTGCGACATAACTCCTTCCCAGAAGGAGGCCACGGCTCTCCAACACCTCCCCCCGGACAACAT